ATCGACAGATGAATGGATAAAGAAGAAGTGGTATATATACACAATGGAATATTATGCAGCCATCAAAAGGAATGAGATCTTGCCATTTGCAACGACGTGGATGGAACTGGAGGGTGTTATGCTGAGTGAAATAAGTCAATCAGAGAAAGACATGTATCATATGACCTCACTGATATGAGGAATTCTTAATCTCAGGAACAAACTGAGGGTTGCTGGAGTGGTCGGGGGTGGGAGGGATGGGGTGGTTGGGTGATAGACATTGGGTAAGATATGTGCTATGGTGAGCACTGTGAATTGTGTAAGACTGTTGAATCACAGATTTGTACTTCTGAAACAAATAATGCAACATATTTTAAGAAAAAAAAAAGAAAAAGAAGAAGATAGCAGGAGAGGAAGAATGAAGGGGAGTAAGTCAGAGGGGGAGACGAACCAGGAGAGATGATGGACTCTGAAAAACAAACTGAGGTTTCTAGAGGGGAGGAGGGTAGGGGGATGGGTTAGCCTGGTGATGGGTATTAAAGAGGGCACATTCTGCATGGAGCAGTGGGTGTTATGAACAAACAATGAATCATGGAACACTACGCCAAGACAAATTATGTAATATATGGTGATTAACATAACAATATAAAATTTTTAAAAAAAGGAAAAAAATGGAGCTAAAATTTAAAAAAAAAAGAAAAAAGAAAACCTAAAAGACTTCACCAAAAAAAAAAAACCCCAAAACCCAACCCTGTTAAAATAAACAAATTCAGTAAAGCTGAAGGATACAAAATTAATACACAAAAGTCTATTGCATTCCTAAACACTAATAACAAACTATCAGAAAGAGTAATTAAGAAAACAATCTCATTTACAATTGCATAAAAGGGAATAAAATATTTAGGAATAAATTTAAGCAAAAAGGTGAAAGACCTGTACAGAGAAAACTAACTGAAGAACACATACATAAATGGAAAGATATTCCATGCTCAAGGATTGGAAGAATTAATATCATTAAAATGCCCATACTACCCAAAGCAATCTACAGATTCAAGACAATCCTTATCAAAATTCCAATCATATCTTTCACAGAAATAGAATAACCCTAAAAATGTATGAAACCACAAAATACCCTGAATAGCCAAAGCAATCATAAGAAAGAAGAACAAAGCTGGAGACACCAAGTGTACTTACTGATTTCAAACCAAACATTAAGCTATAATAATTAATACAGTATGATTTTATATATTATTTATATATTTATAAAACAGTATGATTTTAAATATTAAAACAGTATGATATTTGTATAAAAATAGACACACAGGGGCTCTGGCTGCTTCCCGGCCCTAGCATGCGGCTTCCGGGGGGCCGACTTTGGCGGCTCCTGCCTCACGGGCTCGGAGGGTGCGCCCCGGCGGAGGGGGCCGCCAGAGTCTGGCTCAGGCAACTCGGCGCACGGCGAGAGGAGGCGTGGCGGACCTCGGAGCTGGCTCGCAGCGGCGGGGGAAGCCGGCCCTTGAGCACGGGGATGCCGCCCCCTCCAGGGTCGCCCGGCCCCAAGCCGAAGGGCCGCAGAGACCCCATGCGCCCCTCCAAGCCCGGGCCGGTTTCCTGGAAGTCTTTGGCATTCACATTTGCAATTGGTGGAGCTTTATTGGCTGGAATGAAGTACTTCAAGAAAAAAAAGACAGAGAAGCTGGAGAAGGAACGGCAGCGAAGCCTGGGGAAGCCTTTGCTGGGGGGCCCGTTTTCCCTCACAACACATACTGGAGAGCCCAAAACTGACAAAGACTACGTGGGTCAGTGGGTATTGATTTATTTTGGTTTCACTCATTGCCCTGATGTCTGTCCAGAAGAACTAGAAAAAATGATTCAAGTCGTGGATGAGATAGATAATATCCCAACTCTGCCAAATTTAACTCCACTTTTCATCACTATTGACCCAGAAAGGGACACACAAGAAGCCATCGCAAATTATGTGAAAGAATTTTCTCCCAAACTGGTTGGCCTGACTGGCAGCAAAGAAGAGATTGATCGAGTGGCCCGAGCATACAGGGTGTATTACAGCCCTGGCCCCAAGGACGATGATGAGGACTACATAGTGGATCACACAATAATCATGTACATGGTTGGACCAGATGGTCAGTTCCTAGATTATTTTGGCCAGAACAAGAAGAATGCAGAAATTGCAGGTTCGATTGCCGCGCACATGCGGGAACACAGGAGGAAGGGCTAGCCAGAGCCCCAGTGCCGGCCGCGTGTTCTCTTGCGGAAGAGGAAGAAAGCTTTGTCTCCCGTAGGAGCCAAGATACACCTATATATACACACGCACACACACAAATGCAACCTACAGAATGGCCTTCGCACCCCAAGAGCATCTTGTCTACTATCTGAGAGCGGTCCAACCCAAACCGCCGACAGGGCATGTTACCCTTGGGTTTCGCCAAGATAGTTCTTGGACCTGTAAAGATGCAATGGAACAGTCCCTTGAGCCCAGAGGACCAAGTTAGCATGAGGCCAGTGGAGGGGACATCGGGAAGCAGGAAAACCACAGCAGGTGCATTTCCCCACATCAGCAGGGCCCTCGGGTCAGCGTTGCTGTCCCTCGGGTGCCCCGGACCCTTGTCCACAGTGTGGGACTGAATTTCCAGGAAGAGTGAAATTTCCATAGTGCCCTTGATTTTCCTCTTCGAGTTCGTGGTGGCTGCTAACAGTCAAATCAGGCCCTTGGATGTTCTTGGTTAATCTGTAGACCTGAAAGCGCACGTGTCTACAGTCCTGCGGGTTAGCAGATCTCACGCTCTGGTTTGCGTTGTGTTCCCCTGGCAGTACCTGCTGAGTTTACTAATGAAGAGGAAATCTATTGCTAGGTCAGTTTCTCTAGGAATCTTTTACATGATTTTTATTTAAACGTGCAGGGTCTTCAGTGACCTACCAAATGGAGGCAGGTCGTCTTGATCATGGCTGTAACACAGGGTACTTGTCTGCCTGGACTGGGTTGCAGTGGGTGTGAAATAAAGGTGTGCTGAGTTTTAAAAAAAAAAAAAATAGACACACAGACCAATGGAACAGAATAAAAAAATAAAATCCCACATTTATGGTCAACTAATATTTGACAAGAGAGCCAAGAACACCCAAAGGGGAAAGGATAGTCTTTTCAACAAATGGCACTGGGAAAACTGGATAAACACATGCAGAAAAATGTGCATTCTTACCTTACACTGCTCACAAAAATTAACTCAAAATAGATTAAAGATCTAAACATAAGACCTGAAATACCTGATATAAAACTCCTACAAGAAAATATAGGGAAGAAAATCCTTGACATTAGTCTTGGCAATGATTTTTTAGATATGACACAAAAAGCACAAGCAACAAAAGCAAAAACAAACAAATGGAACTACATCACACTAAAAAGCTTCTGTACAGCAAAATTAACAATCAACAAAATGAAAAGGCATCCTATGGAATGGGAGGAAATATTTGCAAGCCAGATATCAGATAAGGAATTCATAGCCAAAATATATAAAGAACTCACACAACTCAACAACAACAACAAAATCTGATTAACAAATAGGTAGAGGAAATACGACATTTTTCCAAAGAACACACCCAAATGGTCAACAGGTACACGAAAAGATGTCCAACATCTCTAAACATCAGGAAAATGCAAACAACAACAACAACAACCCACAATGAGATATCACTTCATATCTGTTGGAATGGCTATCATCAAAAAGACAAGATGTAACAAGTATTGGTGAGGATTTGGAGAAAAGAGAACCCTTAAAAATCACTGGTGGAAATGCAAATTGGTTCAGTTGCTATGGAAAACAGTATGGAGGTCCATCAAATAATTAAAAATAGAACAACCATATGATTCAGCAATACCACTTCCAGGTTCGTACCTAAAGGAAATGAAAATAGGATATCAAAGAGATAGGTGGCCTACAATTTTCTGTTCCTGCAGTGTCCTTGTCTGGTTTTGGTATCAGGGTAATACTGGCCTCATTGAATGAGTGTGAAAGAGTTCCCTCTTCTATTTTTTGGAATAGTTTGAGAAGGATAGATATTAATTTTTCATTGAACATTTGGTAGAATCTACCCAGTGCAGCCATCTGGTCCTGAAATTTTATAATATGTATTTATCCAAAAAACAAATATAAACACTAATTTGAAAAGATATGTGCATCTCCATGTTCACTGCAGCATTATTCACAATAACCAAGATATGGAAACAACCTAAGTGTCCAATGATGAGTAAATGGATAAAGAAATTGTGGTGTATATATATATACAATGGAATATTATTCAGCCATAAAAAGGAATGAAATATTGCCATTTGTGACAACATGGATGGACCTTGAGGGCATTATGCTAAATGAGATTAGTCAGACCAAGAAAGCCAAATACCATATGATCTCTCGTCCATGTGGAATCTTTAAAAAAAAAAAAAACAACTCACAGATACAGAGAACAGATTGGTGGTTGCCAGAATAAAGGTATGAGAGGTGGGAGAAATGGGTGAAGATGGTCAAAGATAAAATCAATCAATCAATCAATCAATGCATGCAGCATATCACTGACCACCACCATCACCAACAAAAAAGACCAGAAGTTTAAGAAGATGAAAAGATAGAGCCATGCCAAGAGCTATAAAAAAGATGGGGCTCCCATTCCAGTCAGGGGGTCTCATGGAATATGGATCAAAGAAAGCTCCCCAAAGAATATACATATAAATAGGCCTCAAAGGATGCATTGGATTGTTTTCCCATAATGAAAATAGCTTTATTCCATATGTAGGGATAAAGAAGATGTGTTACATGTACCTACACAATGGAATATTATTCAGCCATGGAAAGAAGGAAATCCTGCTATTTCTGACAACATGAACAGACCTTGAAAGCATTACGCTAAGTGAGAGAAGTCAGATAGAGAAAGACAACTACTGCATGATATCACTAAAAAAGCCAAAGCCAAACTTGTAGAAACAGAGAGTAGAATGGTGATTACCTAGGACTAGGGTATGAGAGGTATGGGTAAATAAATCCTGGAGATCTAAAGCACAGCATATTAAGTATAGAAGACAATACTGTATTATATACCTCAAAATTGCTGAGACTAAATCTTAACAAGTGAATCTGGGTAAAGGATATATGGGTATTTTGCAGTATTGTTTTTGCAATTTTTCTGTAAGCTTGAAATTGTTTTATTATAGGGGCACCTGCGTGGCTCAGTTGGTTAAGCATCTGCCTTCAGCTCAGGTCTTGATCCCAGGGTCCTGGGATTGAGCCCCTCCTCAGATTCCCTTCTTCATGGGAAGTCTGTTTCTCTGTCCCCCACTGCCCCTCCCCCCACACGTGCACAAGTGGGAGTGCTCTCTCCCAAATAAATAAAATATTTTTTTAAAAAAGAAATTTTTATTATAAAAATTCAAAATGAAAAAGAAGCCAAAAAAATGATAAATTATATGACATGACAGAAGTGTTTGCTAACAGTACAGTGGTAATCGTATTTCAATATATAAATGTACAACTTAAACTTACACAGTGTCACTATGTACCTTAAACTGGTACAATGTCAACTGTATGTCAATAAAAAATCAATAAATCAATAAAAAATCAATAAATAATCAATAAATGATCAATAAATCAATAAAAAATAATTTGTAAATGTACTAAGTGCTCGTGTTTCTAAAGGCCTTTAAAGATCTATAGAAGTCTATACAACCAACTTTTAATCTTAGTTTCTTCTGAAGAGGGGGATGATAAAGGAAACAGATCGCTGGTCTATGAATCAGTGAGGACTCAAATTCACAACCTTGCTAGGTGATCCTTTGATAATTCTCTTTTCTTTCTTCAGCTTCACTCTTCCTGTCTGTAACATATAAATGTTGGACTAGCTGTCCACCAAAGTCCTTGTATTCTAAGCCATGAGTTCAGCTTATCCCCAGGGATGCAATTTCCCCTTTGTCCTTTTAAGAAAGACCTACTCTTTAATGTGGGGGTATATGAGATAATTGGGAGGGGAGGTTGTGTCCACACCACATACACTGGTAACTGGAAGAGATTCCTAGATGTTTCATCCTCTGCTATTTCTTCTACTGGCCACCCCCAAACCCTCCACACCCATGCCCCACTCCCCAGCTCCACTTTCTATTCTCAGCTTCATTCTCCACTCACCTTCCACCTGTTCTTGCAGGACTCTCCTCCCGGGCCACCCCGCCACCAATCGTGTACTCCAACAACCAGAATGATTCTTTTTTTATAGTTTTATATATAATCTACTTTGTTTCTAAAATGGCAAAGTTCTATATGATTTTATATAAAAACTAAACTGATCTAGAAGTATACAACTAGAAAAGTGAAGGTCACACACACTCCCCATAGCACTTAAGAAAATAAGATCTACAGTAAAGAGAAGACTGGGACTCACCCTACAAGAAACTCCTGTAAAACATCCTGTCACTCCTCTAGAGTGCTAGAGGACAGTGCTCTAGGACAGTCAGTGTGCTCCCTGATGTGGTAGCAGGTTATTGTAAAGCATTATGTTCCTGTAAAATGCATTATGCCATTCTATTACCAAATACAAGAGTCCCTGATGATCTAGCCTAACAAGCAGTATTATGCAGTGCAGCAGCACAGGGACTGGGTTCCCATTATTTACACTGCAGAAAGGCACTGCCACAATGTCACTTGTGGAGGCCACCGTCACATACATCAGTAAGCCTTCCTACCTGGATCCACATCTCCCACTGTAAGGAGACCTTAACCCTGATCATTTAACAACTTCATACACTTTCTTTATGTTTCTCGTAAACAGATCAATGAGGTCCAGACTGTTGGTGCCAATGTATGGAAACACAAGAAAGTCACACCTCATTCTTAAAAGTCTATTCCCAAAAGTGACACCAATCATTTCTCCTCACATTCCATTGGTAAAAACAAATCACATAACCACACTTAGATGCAGGGGGAATGGGACATTGGCAACCTTTCCCAAGTGACAATTATATACTATGTAAGGGGAGGATGCATTTCAGGGGAAAACTGGTCAGAGTCGCTACAGGTATAGAGGAGGGTTGAAAGATACAGAGAGGTACAGAGGAGCTGGAAGATGCTGAGCAGCTAAAAGAAAGTGTCACACATCTATTACAGAAGGGCATAGACACCAAAAGATACATGAGTGAACACACTTCTTGTTTCACAAATAATAATCACAAAAAAAGAAAGCACA